TATGCATGTTTGATATGGTTTTTGGGAATTGACTATTTTTTGAGTTGGTACAGTTTTTGGGAAGTATAGCTTTTAGATTATTGTACATTCAATGAATTTAGGATAAATTAGTCTGACACCCCCTAAGATTTGCCATAATGATAGTCATATACAAGCGGGGGGCCCTTTTTAAACGATGATGTTGGTCCTAGTGCTTGTTCATGATTGTTTTCTCTTTCAATGTCAAAAGTATTGAAAGACAATTAGGCAAGTTGATATATCTTTGTCTATGTGATTAAGGGCAGATTGGTCTTTCTTAATGAACATCTCATGATGCTAAGATCATTAGTAAAGGAACATTGTTTGCAGAATTTATCTAAGAAGCTACTACAGCTATTGAAGCTTAGTTTCTTATTTAAATGCTCATAGTCTCTCTTAGGGTCATTTATATGTGTTGTTACATTGTTCATCAAAGCTTATTTTCTCATTATAATAGTCCAATCACATAGTCAATAAAGGGTACAACAACATTCTTTTTCAGGTCTGTAAAATAGAAATTACGGGGGCATTATTGTAATTATGCGTGTAGCTACAAAATGCTGACACGTGCACAGTGGTCCTGCTGAGAGAAGAGGATGGTAGAATTGCATTCTTTGGCCTCAAGTTTGTAATGTTTTACATATATATACATATACACACATTTATATATATATTGTGACAATTAAGGGCTACTCAAAAGTGTGCACTAGTAGGCAAGTACAAGGACATTGTGGTCCTTTTACACACTTGTATGTCAGATTTATATCCTCTACTTTATTAGGAGGATTGTAGCTTATTCTTATCCACATTAGGGTTGAAATTGTGATGCTTACATATTCATTGTTATAACAATTCAGAAAAGAGAGCCTAATAGTGAACAAACCCTAGAAAAGATGGCTACAAGAGAGAGTCTCGAGAGCATACAATGAACCAAGTTTTCTAAAGCTGTGAAAGGTGATTTGAGCTATGCTTTGTCCTTAGTAGCAAGCATGGAGTGATCAAAATGTCTATCCATAACATGGAAACCTCTAGCTACTGTACATGTACTGAAACAAGTTTTGGAGGGCGAAATAAACTTGTAGATGGTTCTGGAGCTGTGACAAGGTTGAAGCAAGTGTATTTCATCATTTGACAGCTACTGTAAGCACTCTTTTGACCATCTTCTAGTTATAGTCATATTTGATGTCTCAAACTTCCTTGTAAGCTTACTTTTTTGGTTTTAGCTCCTAATTCCAATCTTATATTGTTTATATCATGCTTCACTACATCCTTGATCATCTGAGCATGAATATATAACTGATTTAGATCTATAGAAACTAACACCAATTTAGAAAAGTGACCATGGGTTGTTTTGACCTTTTGAACTAAAACACTTAGGGTTTTCTGCAGAGTTAAGCATTCAGTGAGCCTTGATTTCCTCTTCCATGTTGTTTAAGTCTTATACTTCATCTGAGCATATAAGATTAATGGAACTGAGTGCAAGACTGTGCTACTGTGAAATTCCAGTTTTGTCCTTGAGAACAGAGTTTCTGCAGAAACTGAGTTGAAGCCTATTTTGAACTGTATTTCGAGATTAACTTGATATACTTTAATTGTTGTTGAACTGAGCAAGTGGGGCAAAACTATGAGAGCTTACTTTAAGCCCCAATTGTTGTTGCATTTCGTATTGACCTATCAAACCTCACATCTGCAGAATTCTACATGTTTAGAAGGTAAAGTTCTATCCTAGTAGTTGATTTGTGCTATAAGTGTTACTCTTGCTAAAATAATTGTGTTATCTGGTTGAGTAATTGCATTGTGATATTTGGGAGTTGTGTGAACCATTAATTAATCTCTGTTGTGGTAATTACTTGTTTTCAACCTTGAGATCAAGCAAGCTAGGGTTTTCTGAAGAATACCCTGCTCTATCTGTTGAAAGTATTAATTCTTGCTCTGTTCATTGAGGTCATTATCTGTACAAGAATATAATGATATTTTGAAGCTGTGGGAACCTTGTTTAGCACAGGTTTCAGGTGATTTAATGGATTTACCCATTAAAGCTTGAGAGCTAGGATTTGTCAGGGTTTAAGCCTTTTCAGTGATTATATTGTTATACCTTGATATTTGAATTGTCTTCATCAATTTAGCAAGTGTGCTTTGGTGATACAAGGCTGTGGAAGTCCATTGCAGGTCTAAATTGAAGCTGCATTGTGAAGTGACTATTCTACCCTCAGATTTGGGGTTTGAGCCTATTGAGTACTTACACTGTGTTACCTTGCTTCTTTAATTGTGTAATTCATTCAAGCAAGTGTATAGGGTTATAAAAAAGCTGTGGGAATCTAGTTTGAGCTACCATTGAAGCTGCATTGGAGTTTGACAATTATATCCTATTGATTACAGAGTTGTGTAAGCTAAGGTTTCTTGTTCTTTGTACTTTAAGTTGTGTTGTGATTCTGATCCTATGTAACAACCATTGTACTATATTTATATATACATTCTTTTGTATTTGGTGAGCTAAGAGTGCTCATTGGGTCCAAGCAAGGGTGTTGTGGACAGGGGGAGTGTTGTGTGCACTTAGTGCAGCTAAGGTGTATGTAGAGGCTGTGAAAACTAAAGTTTCAAGTTATGGATAGGTGTATGCAGAGTGTGAGATAACTGAGTGTGTAACTACTTGCATACAATTAGTGGAGATATTTATTGGCTGAGGTCAAGAACCGAGGTTTTTCCCTATTGAGAGGGTATATCTTGTGCACATGCAGTTTGCTTGAATTGAAATTGTTTATGTATTGATATCATGCAAGTGAACCTTAAAGGTACTTAAGATTTGAAAGAAAAATTACTTAGACCAATTCACCCCCTCCCCCTTTTGGTCTAACAGATGACACCCACTCAGGCTTGATAAAGTTTGCAAAGAAACCTCCAATGGTGACATGCAATATTTGATACGTGATGAATTGACCCTATTTCCCTTTAACACATTAAATTATCAATTTACCCAATTCTTTTTTATTGACCAAAATACCCTTTAAAGTTGAGTCCCACCCCACTCATTCTAATAAACCAAGCACCATGACCACTTCACAACTCGCCACACCCACCACGACCACTTCACACCACCATCACACCTACCACCACCACCACTTCACAACCACACCAGACACCACCACCCATATTACTGAATCTTTCTATTTAGGCATTTTGCATTCTATTTCTCTATAATTCCCTTTTTTATTTTTTTTTTAAAAAGTGATCTTATACATGTATTAATTGTATAGGTTCAATTTTGAGCGTTTATATCTAAAAATTCTACTCTCTCGAGAAAGGAAAAAAAAAAAAAAAAAGACATAAATTTTTTTGATGTAATAGGGATATGATGACAAAGCTAAACATCATCGTCACTTCCATTCGCATCCCCAATTTTGTGACAAACAATGGCATAGTAGCGCAGCATCCCTCCACCACGTGTGCCATCGCGGGATCTTTCTATGCCTTTGCACCTCTTGCTTCCTCCAACTTATGGTGGTGATGTCGGTGGTTTCAGCTATTTGCCATCTGTTTCTCTTATTTGATTGTTTTTTCTTCCTCGATTCGAACTTGGAGAGAGCTCGAATTGGTTTTATCTTGGCTCATATGGTGGCGTTGGTGGTTCTAGTTGGTCGTCATTTGTTTCTCCGATTTGATTCTTTTCTTCTTCAATCTGAATATTTCGATCACGTTGATTTGTTCTTGGCCCATATGGGGTTGTGTATGTGCGTGTGCGTATATATATATATATAATATCTATATATGGATTTATATATATAGGTTGATTTTTAGCACACTATTCACATATTGCTTTGGTGGGAAGCAAAACCAATGTGAAAGGGGAGATGGGCAATACGGAGGGTCTAGGTGGTTGGGGTTGGTATTCATCAAAGGACACAAATGACTTTTCATGAGCTGATATTTTACTGTGAAAATGAATTAAATATTGATAAACAATCTCCTCTTTTTTACTTTTTAAGGAATGTGATTGTTTAAAACAACTCTAACTTATACGTGAGTGTCATTGTGGCAAATTTTAAAGGGTGTCAGTGTAAATTATTGATGAATTTAAATAAAAAAAATTTAAGAATTGCATTTGACTTGGATATTGTTTGTAATTTGATATTTTTAGACTTGGATATCTAATTCATTTTTGAAACATTAATTATATAAATAATAATTTAAGCAACGAATTGTATAATTATTGAATTTAATTTAAGTGGGTGTGGCGATAGATTCTATTATATTATATTATTGATGGAACTCGCCAACTCTCACACATAAATTGAATTGAGTAAGCAAAATTCGACTCATAAACCACTACTCTTATTCCATCGAGGACAACCCAAAAAACAAAAAAAAAAAAAAAAAAAAGAATAATTGTGGAGTACAACAAATTTAGGAAATATTTTGTATAACTGTCAGCTACCCAAGCACAATTGTCCTATTATTTCATCCTCTTTTTATGTACTTTTCAATGGTGTTATTAACAGATCAATTGCGAATAAAGTGATGCTACTGATTAATATGACGACAAAAAAAATTAAATTAATAGACCAAACGAAATAATAAATAAAGAGCTTTATTTAAATTCTATATTCGTAAGATAATATTTGCCTCATTGAACACAATATAAGGTAACAACACCCGAAAGGAGAGGAAACAGCCTACTAACTGACCCAAGTGTCATGCCCTTTCCTTCATTGGGCTGGCCACAATTTATTTATTAATTTTTCATTGACAAAAATTTACACACACATTTTATTTTTTTAAAGACTTGAACTCTTTACCATCCATTTTGAGAAATAAAGGAGATACCACTAAATCACAAGACTCTTGATTGACCACAATCTATTTAAATTCCAAAAATTTTGAACATTTCGAACCATGTCCAAGCTCAAGCAGAATTAATTTTTAGTTTGAATCCAATTTATTATTCACCCACAAATGTTTTTTTTTCATTCAATGTGAATCAGATAACTCATAAATATTTCTACTACATGATTTGATGAATATACATGCATTACCTAATGAACACTATTGTGACAAGTCAATATTAAAATTGGAGAAAAACAACAATAACATATTTCACTTTCACCTTTTTTTTTTTTTTTTTTTCAAAACAAAAAAAAAAATAGAAAGTAAATTACATATTACCATACAAGAAGTAAGATAAACACATTATTTTGCTCTCCACACCTTTATTTTAACAACATAAGCTTTTTGACCCTCCCACTCTTTTTCCTTCTTTGCCCCTTGCTATAAGTTCAAAAAAAAAAAAAAAATAGAAAGTAAATTACATATTACCATACAAGAAGTAAGATAAACACATTATTTTGCTCTCCACACCTTTATTTTAACAACATAAGCTTTTTGACCCTCCCACTCTTTTTCCTTCTTTGCCCCTTGCTATAAGTTCAAATTTATAATATTATTTTTTTATTTTTTGATAACCCAGGTGTGGCCCCGTTACCCGTACAAGGTGCCTCACACGATTCGAGTAAAACGCGTACTATATTTGCAGGTGTCTCTTATTTAAGGGCATTTGCGCTTGTTGTTACGGGTGGTCATGTTGGCATAGCAAGGACAGACATCTTGGTTGCCAGAAGTGCCCGGGGGCACACAGTTGCACCTGGCACAGCATGTCCCGCATGCCCTCTTGCACAACCTTGGTCTTGATGACAATGCACACCTAGAAGCGCACGCTCCTCCACAATCTACATACATATATACAAACACAATAAATAATCAAATGCAATAAAATCTACATACATATATACAAACACAATAAATAAATTTTTTAATGCGTAGTTATATTGACAAAAATAGCATAATTTTACTTACTAAAAAATAAATAAAGCTCATAATTTAAATTAGAGTATTAACTATAAAAGTTTTGCTTTACAGGATGCTTTATTCAGTTTTCTTAAAACATTATTGAAGAGTAGAAAATTTGTTTAGTTAACATTTTTTTTCCCGAAAGTTTTAAGTTAAAAAGAGACCTAACTTCGAAATTTGTAGCTTTGTAGTTTTGTTTGGTTTAATTTTCAAAGAACAATAGTCTCGCAAAATTTAAACAATATAAAATAGTACTTAGTTGACAATTTTATGGAAAGTGAGTTAAAAAAAAAAAAAGTGAGAGTTGGACTGCTTAGTTGGTCAAAACAATTATCAAGAATTCAAAAAATAAAAATTATTTTCAGAGAATACAATATTCTAAAAATACATTTCTTTATAATTGAATTTTCATAAAGTAGTTTTCAAAAAATTAAACCAAACACAATTTTTGTATAATTTATAGATAAATCAAGAAGATTTTTTTATAAATCTGTCATCGCACGAATTTAAAAGCTGTTTTCAAAAACAGGGTAATGGAAATATGATTATTTACAATTCTTTGAAAAGGTTTCTATTGTCAAAGTTGAAAAATAAAATTAAAAAATAAAATAAATAACCAAAGCAAAGAAGGTCCTCCTTTTGACTAAAGACTAAAGCAAAGCAAACAAGTGTATAACAAGTAATGGGCAGTAAGCTGTAGATACATACCCATGGTGATGCTGGACGTGCTGTCTGAGACTGAGTTTCTAGTCTGCATTAATTGGAATACAAAAAATAATAATGCATAATTAGTAAAAGTACTATTAAAAAAAAAGAGCATAATTATAGAGAACTGTAAAGTGTTAATGGTTTTTTTTCTTAGGTTATGTTTGGCAAATATAAAATTGAAGTTTTGAAGTTTTGAAATTAGAATCAAGGAAATTGAAGAAAAGCAACTCGAAAAATTTAATTAAAATTTTCTCCAATTTTAATTTCAAGGCTCCAATTCTATGCCGCCAAACACAACCTTGATATAAAGTGTTTATACGAAGAATTGATAAGATATTACCACTTCATTGCTTTGATCCGCTGCTTGGGCGTGGAAGAGAACAAGTAGAGAGAGGAAAAGTGATACAACTACTACTTTAGAGGTGGCCATTGATATAAAATATGTATAACAAAGAGAGAGTTATAAGCTTGGAGTGTAGAAGTAAGATCTAATTGTATTTATAGATAGTAGATGGTGGGTGGCTGGGCAGGCTTATACAAGGACGGATAGAAACAAAAACAAGCGGGAAGGTGGCGGCGTTTGGCATGCCAGAAAGCAAAGCGGTCTAAAGGACTGGCTGGCTGGCAATATGATCTACTTCCAAGTCTCGACAAAGTTGATATTTTTTTAGACAGTCCAATCAACCTGAAAAAGAGAAAAATCTAAATGTTTAGGTCTGTTTAGTTCAATTAAAGAAGAATTTGAAACTAGTTTTTTTTTTTTTTTTTTCGATCAACTATGGTGTCAAGTCTTTTAAAACACTCCTTAATTCACTAATTAGACGCATGTCCAGAAAAATTTCGCAGAGTAGTCCCAAAGGGATTAAAACTTTCAATTTATCCCTAATTTTCTTATTCCAATTTATACAATACAAACAATATTCACACCCTAATTTTTTAAATATATATAATAAAAAAATGATACAATTGTCTTTTAAGAGAATTCTTAGCCTCTACCCTTAATAATGCTCCGTTCGGCAACAAGGGCAAAAATTGAATGAAAGAGAGAGAAGAATGGATGATTGGGACATTCTTAGCGAAGAAATTAAACATTTATCTCTTTTTGTTCGGTTACATGGAAGAAAATGAAAAAAACTGTCAATTTAATATAGGTAGGATAAAAGAAAAGATAAATTTTTAAGTTATTTTTATCATTAAACCCATTATTTACTTTATTTATGGGATTTATTAAATATTTAGGAAGGGTGATATAGTAATTTAAAACTTCTATAATAGGTTCACTTGTTTTTCTCACATCTTTCGTCCATATTTGAGCGGATGAAAATTTGTGAAGGAGGTCCTTCCTATTATCCTTTCTTTTCTTATATCATCTCTATCGAATAAAGGAAATTTGTTCCTTCCTTCCTATTTTCCTTTCACCCATTCTTTTCTTTTCTTTATCAATATTATTGGGTGTTTACATGAACAAGGTGCTCTTTGCACTTTACTTCAACTATACAAAGGAAATATGTGGCACTATTCCTAATATTAGAAAGGTAAGGTTGCAAATTACAATTATTTTTAGTAGACTTGTATAAAAGATAGGGTAAATTACACTGATCTCCCTTAAAATTTGAACAAATTACACACATGTAAAGCATTTGACCTTTTTTTTTACTTTGACCTCCACGACACCCTTGCCGTTAATGAAATTTCAAAAAATGAAGCCTATCTTATTCTGCTTAGCTGAGGAAGTGCTTAGCAGATGCCTCTCCAATCCGTTTTATTCTAAGATGTCTTTTCCTTATGTTAAAAGACCTCAATAACCTTATATTCTGACATGAAATGTAAATGAAATGTAAAAGATCAATTTTCTTACTAATTTTATATTATTAAATTATACAAAAATATATATATATATTTTTTGTTAATGACATTTGAATAGTTTTCTTTTTAGGGTTTAATTATGGTTATCTAAAAATAATAATAATAATAAAATAAAAATAAATAAATAATAGGTAGGATAATATAGTGTTTACAAGATGGAAAAAATAATAATAATAAAATGGTAATAATCTTTTGGTTTGATAGATTTTTATTAAACTATTGTTAAATTAGATAAGTGTATGAAAGATATTTTACACTTTTAGGAAGTATTAAAGTAATAAAGGTCAAACTTTCTATCTATTCGGAATATACCAATGTAATTTACCCAAAAAGTTACATGAATACTTATCTATAGTCCTCATTTCAGGAATAATTTTGCCATTTCTTTTATTGAAAAACAAGTTTAGTGAAAGTTTGCATATTCATTCTCTTTTTTAATAAATAATTTTTTCTTTTAAAACTATCCAACCAATGAAGCATTCTGAGATTGATTTTCTAGACTTTCAATTAGTACAGATTATTGTATCCATAAAGAGAACTATTTTGTGACACATTTACAACTAGCAAGCATCAACTTGTCAGAGAACCTATGGGCTCACAGATACATCTTTTTTGACCAAAAATAAAATAAAACAAGATTGTAGGTGGAACTGATACATATTATATACAGAACAATGATCAACATACATGGTCATATATATATATATATATATATATATATACATGATGAAGTGATAATCATGAGCAATTAGGGTCCACACAACAGATCCCAAACAGGTCCTTCAGTGCCCTAGTTTGTGCTTCCCAGCTGTAATATTCTGGGACAGTCTCCTGCTTTCCCTCTTTGGGGAATTGGGGTTGGTGACCATAAAGAAGAACCCTCTGGACGGAATATAATACGTGTAACCTTTACATGAAAGTGCAAGAACAAGAATTATATGTTGGAGAAAATCCCAACCACCTTGAAACAAAAGATTGCATCATTGCATATGTCAACTTATATGTGTGTGTGTGTGTGTGTGTGTTTAACATAATACTATGCAAGGCACTACAGGCAAAAGGAGTTCAGAGAGCGATCCATGCTTAGCAAACTTAAATACACGTGTGTGCGCGTGTTTATTTGTTTAACATAATACTATGCAAGGCAGTGTTAACACTACAGGCTTGGACACCTTATTCGTGTGTGCGTGTTTAACATAATACTATGCAAGGCAGTGTTAACACTACAGGCTTGAACACCTTATTTGTGTGTGTGTGTGTGTGTGTGTGTGTGTTTAACATAATAGCATGCAAGGCAGTGTTAACACTACAGGCAAAAGGAGTTCAGAGAGTGATCCATGCTCAGCAAACTTATTAGACAAATAAGGTGTCCAAGCTCCTCACAAGAATGACCTTGTGTGTGTGTGTGTGTTTAACATAATACCATGCAAGGCAGTGTTAGCACTACAGGCAAAAGGAGTTCAGAGAGTGATCCATGCTTAGCAAACTTATTAGACAAATAAGGTGTCCAAGCTCCTTACAAGCAGGGGCGGAGCCAATTAAGGCCCAAAGAGGGCACGTGCACCGCGACTAGAGAGAAAACAAAACAACACATATATAAAGTTAGAATGAAAACGGAAACAAGGAAGACCATCACAATAACTGGATCAAAATGGAAGAGAAACTGAGAGATCTGAAGGGGGCTTTTGAGGGATTGTTGTCGCTGAACGAAACGAACTCAAATTTGGACTCGAAGGGGTTTTCCTGGAGAAAGAGGCCGAAGGGTGGAGAAGAGAGAAACGGGAGGCGGAGCGCTTCCCTGCTTCATTAAAAAGGCCAAAACCAAGGCCCATTTCAAAACCCATCTTTCCCCTTCTCTCATTCTGGCCGAGCCCTCTCTCCCTTACCCTCTCAACACCTCATTTTCTCCCTCCTAACCCTATCCCATCACAACCCATCCCTCTCACTTTGTTCCAACCTAATATACATAGATAAATATTTTTGGTATATACGTATATTTTTATGGTAATTTTAAATAGTGCCCCCTCTCAAATTTTCAAATTCTTCTAATTTCCTTTTGAAAAAAAAAAAAAATATATATATATATATATATCCCTTCATACAATATATTTTTCTTTTTTCACTTATATATAATTATGTATTTTTTTATTTTTTTTAACTTATTTCTTTTTATCGATGACATTTGTGATTATATTTAATTAAAATATTATTAATTAATATTTTAATTCTTATATTTGTAACTATATTTCTTTTACCGTATTTATTTAGCATATTATTTTACAACTATTTTTTTCTTGTTTGACTTTTTGATTTAAAAAAAAAAATTATACTTCCTATTTGTCATTTTTTTTTTTTTTCAACAAGTGCATTGTGCCCCCTCTGAACTAAAATTCTAGCTCCGCCCCTGCTTACAAGGACCTAGATAATATAATAAACTTAATTTCACAAGCAAGGCCTTTGGTTCATCACTTGTTGACTCTCGGCTCAAAATCAACTTAACCAAGGCTTAATTAAAACCTATTTTTCGATAAAAGAGTAAAAAGCTCAATCCTGTTTATTCTCCGCCCTAAGTAGCTGCTTGGCGCTACATAAGATGCAAGAACAAGGCTAGAGCTAGCAGAAACCTAGTAAGGTCACATTCAAATCATTCACCATATGCACACTGCTAATAGATGATCAGCATCAAGCAAAAGATTACTATAATCTATCATATAAAGCCAAATATTAGTTACCTACAAAAAGAAAAAAGGCGCACAAATTAGTGCTGACACAATGAAGTTCATCTAATTTCTGGTAAAATCAAGTTTTGATTTATATATCCATCAGAGTTGCAGCATAGCCAACTTTACAAACAATCCACTTGATTTCCAGTCATGACTACAGAGAAGAACCAGTGAGTTGTATGACCCCAGTGGAAAGCAAAAATAACTTAAAGAATACCATCCACTACATTTAAGTTTTGTATTTTTTTTTTTTTTTTTTTAAAGACAGGATGCTCATTTGATCACCAATTACACTACTCCAGAAGGAAGACGTAAAACAAGCTGTCCTCCGAAAACACTGCAATGAAAAAGAGATTTGTTAAAAAGCATGAAAGTTTGAACGATTTCTGAGAGATTAGACATCAACAAAAGTTTATTCCACCTTTTTACGTAATAGTAACAGAAGTCTGCTAATATGAAAGTTTGAACGATTTCTGAGATAAGAACCATAGAAGGCCATAATCCATAACCCAGTGCCGTTAGCAGATGGCCACGACTGTCCAAAACCTGTTAAACCAATGAAAATAAAAATAATAGCAAATCATAAAGCAATCGAATGGAAAACTGTAAATCCAATCAATCTACATCCCTGTGCATGAGGTAAAGATCCAGAGAGTAGATTTGACAACCATAAAAGTACCAGTTACACAATGATGATTGCTAGTGAACACATACGCGTTAACCATAAAACCATACAATTGGAGTGAAGATGAATGTCCCCAACTCACTTGATTTCAGAAAATGTCATCAATGCTCAATGATGGTATTAACCTTCATCGAAAATATTTGTGATAATAAGTACCTCAGTCATGTACATGAGATTCTTTACGACTTGTATTTGCATTAGCAACAAGCTCCATATACTTTTTGTGCATAAGTTTTAGTGATTAAGCAATTTACACACTGAACGTGTCAACCATTTTCCTAAATGCACTAATCTGAGAGCATATATTCTAAAGAAACCTCCACCCACCAAGTTACCAAAGAAAATGCGCTATGTTAGTAACCATAAATGCATTAGAGGCAATTAAGGCATTTAAAGCAGAATAAGTCACCAACTTTGCTAATAAAACTCACATATTTTAATCCCCTAAACCAATTCCCATAAGCAATAAATAATGTGAAATCATGCTATTCTTGTTTGATTAATTGGTATTGGATGGTCAAATAACTAGTTCAGGAATGGCAATACGACCAAAGTTGATGAACGGACCAACTTGCAGGTACGAAAATCATATCAAATACCTCACACAATACAACTGTACCATTGAAGTTTGCAATCTAACCTGGAGAACCCAATGAGCGCAGCTCAAGAACCTAGCAACACCCAATGCGAATACATAATGAGCTGTGAATGGTTCAACAATCTGAAAAACAAAAAGCAGAAAAGTCAAAGGAGGCCAGCATAAAGACAATTTAATCCAAAAAAACTCAAATCATGTTATTTTCTTGATCCACATGATTGTACCTTTGTGTTTTGCATGACCCGCAATTGGGGTAGCACAGAAACAGCTTCCAAATATACACAGAATGCCCAGAAAATCCTGTTGATGATATGATGTGACGTCGATGGATGAATTACCAAAGCCAATAGAACACAAGGTACCGCCTACAACAAAATGGTAAACCAAGGTAAAAAAATTTATTTAAAAAAAATGAAAGAAAAAGAAAGATAATTACAAGACACAAAAATAAATTTAACGAAGTGACAAGTAAGAAGGTTTTGGTATACCACGAGTTTTATAAGGTAAGGTATAAGAAGTAAGAAATGTTTTGGAAAACCATCTTGCTCATATCAGTATATAGTATAAATACCTTACAGAAACTAGAAGCCTAAATAATATTTGTTTGAGTATCTTAAAGTCAAGGAACAATGAAAAGAATGTTGCTGCTCATACTCTGGCAAGATGAAAGAAGTAAAGAGAAGCTAGTGATACAACTAGGACAAAAATTACAATTCAAATAAAAAAATTTTGAGCGTCCTAAGTCAAAGGACGATGAAAAGAATGCTGCTGGTCATACTCTAGCAAGATGAAAGAAGTAAAGAGAAGCTAGTGATCCAACTAGGACAAAAATCACAATTCAATCTTAAGAATTACCATAGTTCATGGTAGGATGCTGAGAATCAATAAATTAAACGAAAACGCGACATTGGATAGACAGTCACAAGAAAAGAAAGAAAAAGAACTCAATATATACTCAAAAAGCTAGATGTAAGTTGATGAGGTACTTGAACTATTAGAGCAACACTGTTAAAGTTGAAGCAAATGGAAGGCTAAATCAATATGGACAGAGGTAAGGAGAAGAAAAACACTGATGAGTGCTCAAATGTGATGCATTTTAGCACCTAAGCTAGAGTATTTTAGTCCATTCATCCATCTTTATTTTCCCGCTTTAGTACTTATTTGTGTTTTTGTCTATTTCAGGTCAATAAGGTTCAAACCGGCTAAAAATGGTTTCTTACAACCTTTTTGGAGTCAAAGCATAAATACGCTGGCAGCGAGCTGTTTTATTCCCGCGCGCCCTAACTCTACCTACCACATAGCTGCGGGATTAGAAGATATTTTAAAGGCTTATTTTCTGACTTGTTCACTACTCTAAGGACCTTGTATTTAAAGGGAATTGAACCATTTTGTAATATATCTTTTGTCTTCAATTTTATTTTATTTTTACATTGTAATAGCTATTTTCTATCTCTAGAAAAGTTAGAGATTAGTGTTAGAAGAAAAGAGAAGAGTAGAGACACCAAGAACACATCTCAAGATCTACACACTCTTTCTCTCTTTAGAATTCAACAAAGAAGAAGAGTAAGAAGATGGAGTCTGTTTGGGGATTGCCCTTGAGGGTTCCAAGATCACATCCACCTCCTCCATGATTGGCTAGACTTTCTCCTTGGAGCTTGGATGAGCCCCAAGTTTGTAATCTAAGTCTCTTTCATATTTTTTGGGGAATCATATCTTGTGATTAGTGTTTTAGCCTTGTGAATTTAATGAATCTTAGGTTCTCTTTTGATTTATATGGATTAATTCTTTCTATTGATTCTCTATGTGATTACATGTTGTCTTATGTGTAATTATTTGGGAATTGATCTCTACACTAGTTTTTCTATATTAATTGAATGTTTATATGTGGTTGATTGAGAATCTAGTGATGGCTAGGCATAGTTTTTATTGGATAGGTTTGTCAATTAATTTGATGGATTATGCTTATACTTTATGGGCTGTTCTACAATTTAATTCATACTTGTAGGTAGGTAGACAATCTTTACTTGATTTGATATTCCATGACTTATTATTGCAAATTCCATGATTCTCTAAATTGATGTGTGCTACAATTGTGACTAGTTTGATTGGTCATGCTTAGGATTGATAAGTTGTTCTACACTTAGTTTAATTGTTGGTTAGGTAGGCAATTCATTATTGAATTTGATGGTCCATACTTAATATTGCAATTGGTAGTCGTATTTTGTTCACAAGAAGATTTTTCCCAAATTAGTTGAAAGTGTGTGGTTTGGTGAACAATCTTGGTGGTGATTCCAATACACCCCAAGACCTCACTTCTCATCTCTTAAATCCCTAACTCAACTGAGTTTATTTTAATTACTTTTTAATTTCCTTGCATCTTAGTTTAATCAACCAATTTCTCTCTTTGCAATCAATTGGTACATTAGAGTCGAAATTAAATTCCAACAAGTATAATCCCTACGGATAATCCCTACTCGCTATGCTTCATTAGTTATAGTAGTGGTTTTTATAAATGTAAATTTGACTAGAAAGGCTTCCTAAACCACATTCATATTTTGACCTTGCGAAGTGACCTCTTGCATTACAAAGTCTGTTTTCTAAACACATAGAAAGGGGCTCGTAAAATTTTGCCGCCGTTGCTGGGAATTAACGGTTTTGTTGGAATTAGACTAGACAATAGTGTTCATTTGATTGCTTCTATTTTCATTTTATTTTCCATTGTATATTCATTTCTCATTCTTGATATTATTTGTCAATTAGGTAATTGACTACAAGAAAGACAAACATTGGATCTTAAAGCAATCATTAGAGCTTAAAGCTAGCATTGGAATTTGAAGTTGCTTAAGGACCTTTGAGAGCATTTCTTGAAAATCTTGTAATTTAATTGTTTCACTTCTTTGCATGCTTATGATAGCCCTTCTTGAGGCTAATTTCATTGTCTTATTTTAAATCCAAGCATCGGCCCGTGTGGAAGCCAAAAATTTTTCTTGCATTTGGATTTTTAATGTGAATAGAGCCATTGTTTGATCCAAGTTTGGGGGGGGGGGGGGGGAATTTCTTTATGTCCCTCTATCATATTTTAATCCTTATGAGATTGAGTCCAATGTTCAACATGCATCATTTTATTATCAACTTGATCACTCTTTTAATCTTCCTTATGACTATTGCCCTCCCCCACCATTTTATGAAGAACCACCTCCATCACCTTATTCACCTGATTTTCAAGAAAAAGTGTTAGTTTTACTTGATGTACTTAATCCACAAACCCAACTTATTCTTTCACATTCTCAAATCTTAGCCAAGCTTGAAGCTCAAGTTGAGCAAATTGCAAGTATTCTTTCTCGTCAAGAGGAGGAGGAAGAGGCAAATGAAAAAATGGCAAGAACTTCAATTTATATAGATGAGTACGAGGAGAGTGAAGAGGATGACACAAGTAAGCTAATACCTAACACTCTATCTTGTATAGAGGAGGAAGTGGCAAGTGAGTTAGTGGCTAATCCAATAGAGCATAACATGATTAATGAGGATTTTCCCTGTTTTGATCATGATTTTATCCCGATCATTGCTACTCTAGAGAGTGTGGAAACGGTGACTACTATAGAAGTAGGAGAGGAGGAGAAGGAACTTGTTGAAGAAAGCCTTCCTTCTATTATCTCTAAAGACCCTCTTGAGACATGTCTTTTTGAAATGTATAAAAATTGTGGTTTTGACCTTGAAAGCTCCAAAAATAAAGTGAACTCTAATAGACTCCTTAGCTAACTTGGAAAGTGAGGAGATGGTGATTATTGAGGAAGAGGAAAGGCATGAAGAGAGTGCAATTCCTATTAATCTAATTGAGTCTTTGAAAGACTTTGCCTTGCCAAGTGCAAGGCCGCTCATCATTGATTTTATTTTCAAGACCGTGGATGAAAGGAAACAAATTGCATCTTTCATAATTTCTTTTCAAGTCATTCTTTTGAAGAATGTGTATATTGTTGTAGGTGAGGCATTAAATGAAAAAATGGAAAAGATGGTCAATAAGGATGTTTCATATCCGGTCTTTGATACTTTCGACTAGTGAATCGACCCAACGTCTTACTAGAGACGTTAAACACTAGCATTCGTAAAGTTTCACAACTCTATTCCTTCCACATTTCTTTTTATTTTTCATTTCTTGCATCATCTAGATATGTTCCATTGCACTTCTTGTCAAAAATCAAGTTTTTAGACCATATTCATGCAATTTGGGGCTTTAGAAAATTTCTGCCTTTGAAAATTTTTCGAAATTCAGCATTTTGTGCCCAGGCAACACCCAGTTCGATCGATCGAAGACTTTCTCGATCAATCAACGCTTATTCCGATCAATCGAAAAAGGCCTCAATCGATCGAAAATAATGTGAATCGATCGGAATTGCGTCGAAAATTTTTGTTCCCAGGGCATCATTCTACAAGCTTTTCGATCGATCGAACGCCCCTTTCGATCAATCAAGCACTGTTCAAAACAAAAATAAATAAATAAATAAATAATTTTTGTATCCCTTATTTCCTTACATTTGCATTTCTTGCATGTTTATTTGTTTTATTTTTTTGTGTGTGTGTGTGTACATACTTATTATGTCAAAAAATAAAAAATACAAAATAAAATAAAAAGTTTTTATTTTCATTTTTCATTATTTTATTCTTGCATCCTTTCTTAATTTTTGTTTTTTTATTTCTTGCATTGTACATATTTTTTCATTGCATTTTGCCTTATTTATTTTTCTTTTTGTATTTTGTTCATACATTTTATTCTTTGATTTTCTTACATTTTGTCTATACATACTTTCATAAAATGAAAAATACAAAAATTTGTTTCACCATTGTGCCCTTATGTGTAGTCATGCTACTTTCATATTTTCTATTGGGCTTGATCTCATATCTTTCTTTCATATTGTGCTATATTGCCTTAGAATGCTTGATTTGGTTATCTTTATCCCATTTGATATTTGATGTAAGTTTGCTAGTGTAGTTATTCAAGTAGGTTGTTGATTCCAAGTTTAGGGGTGCACTTTTTCCCAATGGATCATTACCGAGCTTCATGTCTTTGCCACCACGGTATATTCTTTCCATCTTTTTCATTGTTCTCATTGCACATTGAGGATAATGTGCAGTTTAAGTTTAGGGGTAATGTGACTTTGTTGCATTCTACTTAAGTTTAAGACTTAATTGCACGATTGAGATTTGGGATCCATTTGAGCGATGATTTTGATCTTTTGAAGACCATGATACTTAGAATTTAAAAAATGCTTGACTTGAGAGTCCAATACTCCTTGTATGCTTTCTGAATGCCATTTAGAAGTAAATTTTTCGAAAGATTTATATCTTGCTTGCATTTGTGGTCCACATA